TCCATTCCGTTTAAACGACCAGTGGTTACAGGAGGACAACTTTCGGCAGTAGTGAAACAGTTGGAGTAAGTTATGGTGGAAGGTACGGCCAGCTAGAAGGTGGCGTGCGAACTGAAGTTATTGAAAAACATTATTAAGGAGTGGACAAAAGAGGTGATCTCAAAGGAAGATGTAGAGGCGAATATGTTATTCTTCGAACTGGGGGAGCTAGACCACAAGGAGGGAACGGAGGGTCTGCAGTTGGATGAGATCAATCGCATGGATGAAATAAAATTGTTGCTGGCCCGAAAAGAAAAAATGGAGGAACTTGCATGGAAGCAGAAGTCTAGGAAAAAATGGTTGAAAGAAGGGGACATAAGTACTAAATATTTTCATACCTTGGCAAATCAACATAGAAGATGCAATTTTTTGGAGGAGATGTGGGTGGATGGGGTCAAACACAAAGGCAACGAAAACATAGGAGAGGCTGCTAGGGAGCATCTTATGTGTCTATATGAGGAAGAGTTTGCTGTTAGACCTCAACTAGACGGTTTGAATTTCAAGAAAATTGGGGGAAGCAACAGAAAGATGTTATAAGCCAGGTTCTTTGAGGATGAGGTAATCTCTGCACTGAAGTCTTGTGATGGGGATAAGGCCCTGGGCACGGACAAATTCAACATGAACTTCATTAAAACCTTATGGTATGTTATTAAAAAGGATGTTATGGATGTCTTCCATGAGTTTCATTCCAAGGGTAAGTTTGTTAGAGCTCTGAATTCTTAATTTTTGGTATTGGTTGCGAAGAAAAAATATGCGGATAAGATTAGAGATTTAAGACCTATTAGTTTAGTGGAAGAAATGTGCGGATAATATTAGAGATTTAAGACCTATTAGTTTGGTGGGTTGCATTTATAAACTCATTGTGAAGATGTTAATGATTAGACTATCCAAAGTTTTGGAGGAATTCATTGGGGAGTGTCAACACGTTTTTGTTGCTAGTAGACAAATTCAAGATGCTATCCTTGTCGTTAATGAGACTGTTGACGATTTGGTCATGAATAGCAAAGATGGTTTAATATGTAAGGTGTACATGGAGAAGGCATATGACCACGTTTGCTGGAACTTTGTGGATTACTTGCTGAGTAGAATGAGTTTCAGGGATCAATGGAGGGATTGGATGAAGACTTGTATGAGAACCACATCATTTGTTGTTTTGATTAATAGTGGGCCTTCAAGATTTTTCACGGGTTCCCGGGAGTTGAGGCAAGGAGACCCATTGTCACCATTATTATTCATCATTGTCATGGAAATGTTGAATGATATGATTGAACGGGAAAAATAGTGTCAGCTTCTCAAGGAAGTGGTGATTGGCAGGGGTGATGAGGAGATGGAAATTTCATATTTATTTTTTGTGGATGAAACCTTTCTGTTTTGTTATCTCAAAAAGCAATTTCTTCTCCACTTGAAGTGTATCCTTCTTTGTTTTCAAGATGTTTCAGGACTCAATATCAACCTTGATAAAACCGAACTTGTCAAATTAGGGGATAAGGGTGATGAATGCGGCCTTGCTAAGGTGTTGGGCTGTAAGGCTACAAATCTTCCCATTAATATCTTAGGGTGCCTCTTGGTGCTAGGTACAAGGAGAAGAAACTTTGGGAACCGGTAATTGACATGTTTGAGTCTAGACTTGCCGGATGGAAGAGAAATTTTTTGTCTAAAGGATGTAAACTCACACTTATAAAGAGCACATTCGCAAATCTACCTGTTTATTATCTCTCAACATTGACCATTTCGGTAAGTGTTGCTAAACATTGGAGACCATTCAATGTCGTTTCTTATGGGGCGATAGTGGAGATAGAAAAAAGTTTCATCTTGTCAAATGGGACGAAATAAAGAAGCCTGCTTATGATGGTGGTTTGGACATTCGATCGGTGGTTGAATTTAATAAAGCTTTACAAGACAAGTAGTTGTGGAGATTTTTGAGAAAGGATGGTAGAATGTGGAAGACGGTGATTTTGGCTAGGTGGCAGACCTGTGCACTTATGGGTT